AAAGAGTTTATACCTTATCCTACTTCTACTTCAATACTTCAGAGGCTACTTATTTAAGATTTTATAAAGAATTCATCACTTTAATGGAAAATGCTTGCTATTTTGTATTTTTCATGTGAAATTTAATGAGGTATAATTCTTAATTGGTTTTGATATCAATGTAAGATATACATCAATATTTTCTGAGTGACTAAAACAACATGAAACTAAATACTAGGTACGTAGATCATCTCATCTGAAATCACTATTTCACAAAAAATATTCTAAAGTAATCATTATTGTAGTGTCCTAGTCCAAAGAATTAAAATATTTCAGGGTGAGGAAACAAGAAAAGAAACTAATTCCACTGGTGAAGTGGGGATATCTAAAAGATAGACATTAATAAGAAAAACATAGAAATTTTTTTCTGGGAAACCCTGAAATTAAGTACAATAGGAGTTTTTGCTTTTGATATACAGAATTGATGGAAAAGAGATATCACTTTGACCTTATTTCTTTTTGGTGTAACTAAAAGCAAGCCTTTGAAATTTATGGGTCTCACTATTCCCACACAGGAAATAATATATTTTCTTCAGATCCAGAGATGAGCAGGTAATATTACTTGAGTTACTTCTTCAATCATCCAGAAACGAATTTGCTGGATCTTTCCCATCCATGTCCCCTCCCACATAATTCAAATGTGGTTTAGGAAACACTAGCAGAACAGAAGAATCTTTCTCCATCATAATTCAGATAATATGTGAGTATGAAATATTCCTCATTTGATTCTAGTATGTCCTCCACCTACAATGTAGGTTCCAGAAGGACAGGGAATTTGTTTTGTTTACTGTTGTATTCATCCTCTAGAAAAGCATCTGGCATAGAACAGTAGCTCAATAAATATTTTCTGGATGGATAAATGGATGGGGGGATGGATGGACAGCATAGAATATCTTTTGCTTATTTATTAGTTCAATTTTAGTGGCATATGTACTTAATTTTCTAAAATAGATTGATTTTTAGAAAATGACAAATTACAATACTATATGCAAATACGATTTTTTTTTTTTTTCTTTTTGAGACGGAGTCTCGCTCTGTTGCCAGGCTGGAGTGCAGTGGCACAATCTTGGCTCACTGCAACCTCCCCCTCTTGGGCTCAAGCTATTCTCCTGCCTCAGCCTCCCAAGTAGCTGGGACTACAGGTGTGTGCCACCACATCCAGCTTCTGTTTTGTATTTTTAGTAGAGATGGGGTTTCACTACGTTGGCCAGGATGGTCTCAATCCCTTGACCTTGTGATTTGCCCACATTGGCCTCCCAAAGTGCTGGGATTACAGGTGTGAGCCACTATGCCCAGTCAGAAATGTTTTAATTTCTAGTCATTTATATACAACAATAAGGAAAATTGGAATGATTGCATCACTTTAAAAGCATTCTGATTCTTTCACTGTTTTTAGTGATTTTTTTTTTTTAAGGCAAACATCGAGAGGTAAAGAAAGTCATCTTTTTTGAGATATTAGACCATGTTAAAATAGTTCCTGTGGTTGACTGGGAAAATTTAGAGAGCTCCTGTTCTCAAAGTAATTGCTGGGGGATGGGGGCATGGCTTATGATCGACATGGAGAGATGATTTCTGATTTTATCACTGACCTTTTATGGTACCATGTTCAAGTCGTTTGACCTTTTTATGTTTAATTTACCTAACTGTGAAATAACAATACCTGCAATAATATACCAAAAGAATTACTGCAGGATTTGTGCTCCTAATGCTCCTTAAGTTCCTGAATCAATGAGGCTTAGTGAAGAGCACAGTCTTACTATTCTACTTTTCTCTATGATATACCTATTCCAAGAATGAGTTAATTGCTTTTCTGTTGCTCAAAGTCTTGACAAAGCCACTTTAAAGTGGGTTAATTAGAGGCTTGAAATTATAATGATGAGTTCCACAACAGTCCTCACACTGCAAGTGTGTGCTCAGGAATCCAATCCGAAGTGCACAAATTAGCCAGATGTAAAATCGAGAGTGGATGTGGGGAGCTGAGAAAAAGCACTATGAGATAATTTTCAGGAACTTTAAGCTCAATTGCTTGAAAGCATTTCAACTTCAGGTTTCTTCAGCTTTCTATTTCTGAGTTACATTAGACTGAGAAATATGCTGTTGCTGTCTCTCTGTTTAACTGTCTAATCAACAGCTGCTAAAAAAGAAAAAAAAAAGGTCAGCTTTTGTGAGATAGAGTAGTTCTTCAAAGTCAGAGAATTACTGCTCAAATGAACTTCTGCGTTTCAAAGGCAAACCTAATAAAGGAGGAAATGAGGTGGCAAGGTGAATTTCAACCTAAGTAGGTATTCAGATCAGTTGAATTAAACTGAAAAGAGACAAAGAATGTTGAGCAGATATATTTTGTTACTTGTTCATTCCCTAACATCCAACACCCTTTTAAATGTTATCTAGTCATTCAGAAGTTAAATGACCCAGGTTGCAAATAAAAAGACAAAGAGAGGGCATGAGAATTAAAGAGAGGAAGGGAAGAAAGACAAAATTTAGAGGAAAAACTCATTTAGAAAAACTTACTGTCCTTTCTTAAAAAATATAGAACTAACTGGTAAAGAAGCCATTTAAAGATAAAGGTATTGAACATAAATATACAGGTATATGAACAAAGTTACTGCCTGCATTTTGTCTTGGAGATTATATAACATCATGAATTATCTATAAGTAAAACAGTATTATTAATAGTTTCAGATACATGAAGCACTTTATATGCAATATTAACATAACATAAAGACCCACTTCTCTCATTCAATACTAAAAAATTATCCTATGACCTAAGTCATCACGAGCTAAACACAATAATTAATATATGCCTTGTATGCTTAATCTGTCAGAGGTATTTGAACCAGAGTGACTCCATCTTGAATAGGAGTTAGATAAAATGAGACTGAGACCTACTGGGCTGCATTCCCAGGAGGTGAGGCATTCTTAGTCACAGGATGAGATAGGAGGTCGAAACAGGGTACAAGTCACAAAGACCTTGCTGATAAAATAGGTTGCAGCAAAGAAGCTGGCCCAAACCCACCAAAACCAAGATGGCAATGAAAGTGACCTCTGATCATCCTTAACGCTCATTATACACTAATTATTCTGCATTAGCATCCTTAAAAACATTTCCCCCTGTGCCATGACAGTTACAAATGCATGGCAACATCAGGAACCTACCCTATATGGTCTAAAAAGGGGAGGAACCCTCAGTTCCACAAATTGCCTACCCTTTCCTGGAAAACTCATGAATAATCCACCCCTTGTTTAGCATATAATCAAGAAATAACCATAAAAACAGCCTACCAGGTACCCTTGGGGCTGCTCTGCTTATGGAATAGCCATTTTTTATTCCTTTACTTTCTTAATAAACTTGCCTCCGCTATGCTCTATGAATTTGCCCTAAATTCTTTCTTGCACCAGGTCCAAGAACCTGTTCATGGGGTCTGGATCAGGACCTCTTTCCGGTAACAATTCTGTAATTGTTAATGAAACTCTGATGTGTACCAAATAATGCCCTAGGCTTTGGGGCTATAATAGTGAACAAAACAGACCAAAGCTCCTGCCCTCCTGGAGCTGACTTTCTGTTGGTGAAGGAGACATAAACAATTATATCATCTATCAAAATGTGCAAGTGCTAAGGAGAAAATAAAGTGGAGCATAGAAGTAATGAGCACTGGGAGATAGAGTTTGCCATTTTAAATCAAATGGCTAGAAACCATTTTAACAGAAACTTATAGACACAAAGCACAATTATGGTTCTTGACTCTGAGACATAGCCACGAGGCCAATGTGGCTTGAGCAGAGTAAGTAAGGAGGAAAGTGACCAGAGAGGGGAGAAGGGGAAGAGGGCCAGGTCATATTGGGAGACGTGAAGCCAACACAAGAGTAGACTTTTGCTGAGAAACTGGAAGTATTAAAAGGTGTTGAGCAGAGAGGTGACATAATCTGTGTTACATTTTTAAGGGTTCACTGTAGCTACTGTTAGAGAAGACTATGGAATGCACGGATGAACAGATGCAGGAAGAGTTAGAAGCCTATTGCAAATAATACAGATGAGAGATAGTGCAGATTGGACCAGGTGGTAGTGAAGGACATGGGCAGATTCTATAACACACAATGAAATGAAAAGGGGCAGTCACAGACATGGCTAGAGGGTGGGATTGTATGGTGGTTAGCATCATGAGCTCTGGACAGATCTGGGTTCAACTCCATTGTATTCTATTTGTTAACTGAGCAGCCACAGGCAAATCATTTAGCTTCTCTAAGCTTCACTTTCTTCTTCTGCGAGTGAGGTTCCTAAGAGTACTTTATGAATATTTACCCCAGAGAGTTATTGTGATATTTAGATGAGACATAGCACCTGATACAAAGTAAGTGTGTGTTACACTCAATAAATCGGAAGTAAAATAACAGAAAAAAATAAGAGTAAGCAGGAGCGTACTCACTAAGGGTCTCCTGAGCATGTTGGTGAGCACGTACATACTCTGTTTTATCAGAAGCTATGGAAATGTTTGGTGAGGAGACAGACAGGATCAGCTGACTTTTTAGTGTGATTAACTTTTTAGCTTCCCCGTGGAGAGTAGATTGAAAAAGGTCTTAGCTGGACACAGAGAAAGGAGGCTGCAGCAGTTGTCCAGGCACAAAATGAAGGTGGCAGCAGGAAGAAACTAGCAGTATGAGTGGAGAGGAGAGAGCAGCTCTGTCTGGGTTAGGGCAGTACAGGGGCCCATGTGAATGCCAGCTTCTAGTTGGTAGCTGCTTAGAGAACTGTGCCACTAATGGAGAAAAGGGACTCTGAGTTATTCTAGTGAGAGGCTGATGATGACATCAAGACTCAGTTTCCCTGCAATGCAGCACACTCGGATTAGAACAATCAAGAAAGGAAAACGCCAGGGCCTGCCAGGGAAGCCAGGAAGGGCCTGGTTGCCTGTCACCACCTGCACCCAAAGCACTGATATTTTCTTGATGTGTGTGTTTATTACTTTGTTCTCCCTTAGTTTGTGTCAATGTTAAACATGAGGGAGTGATCAATGATAAAAACAAGATAAATACGAGATACTTCTAGATTCAATGATACAGTCAATAAAATTGGGAAAACATTTTATTTGGGGAATATTTTCAAGGAAAACTTGCCCAAATAAAAATTGTTTTCTGTTAAAATTACACAGACATGAGTTTGTTTATTCCTTTTGGAGCTCATTTGTGAGCACTCTTGCAGCATCCATTTAGGATCTGAACACTGAAGCCGTCTGAATCCGAGTACTTCCTACCCTAATGAGCTTCGGGAAGGCTGACGTGCCTCTCCCTCCTGCTTGGGTCTTGGTGAGCTGAGCGTGAAGGCCTCGCCGCAGCTCCCAAACACACTGACATTTAATTAGCACAGTCGCTGTGATCCCATAGCGGGCCTTCCCCAATGAGAACTACAAAGCACTGCACAGAGTGGGTACAACTACAAGCTAAATAAATCCCTAGTCTGGTAGATAAAGAGCTGCTTTTGCAAACTGGACCCCGTGCATACTTCCTATCAGTCCTTTACTGGTACTGCTTTTAGGCAATGCTGCTGTGCTAAGGGGAAACAAATACAAATATGACGAGCCTCAGGAAATCTAGGAGGGTGGACATTTTAAACATACACACACTTCTGCTGAAGAGCAACTGCAGTATATTTAAGGAACAAATAACACACTTGCTCAGTGACAGCAAGACAATTTGTGCTGTAATGCCACTAGCGTTTCCCTCATTCTCCCCTCTTCTCCAGGTTTTAGAACTGATATTTTGCCTTCATTCCACTTAAGACAGGGATCTGAAGAGGACACTCTGGCCGAGATGCTTTGAATCATTGCTTCTCTGACTCTACTGTGCATTCTGGTGTGTGTCTGCTTTGCAGGTAGTAAATACCACAGCATCCTCTGTTCACTGCAGTCCAATTTGTGTCTCTTAACTTCCCCTCCATCAACAGATTGTTCTGCGGAGACTGCTGGTGACCTGCTGGGAGCCAAAGCCATGGGTCCGGTTTACAGCTGCACCTCATTTATTGCATCCTTGAGGGCCTTTGGTCTCACCGTCTTTTGTGATTCTCTCCTCCCTTGCTTTTATATCACATTCCCTCAGGCCTCTGATTTTCAATTCATTTCTGCGGGTTTCACTTCCTCTTTCTTTCCCTTAAAGTTTGCCATTTCTTAGGATTCAACTCTTGATCTTTTACTCCTCTCACTCCAGTTGATTTTTTCAGGAAATCTCATCTACATCTGCAATTTCAAACAGCATCTATATACCTACTGTCTCTGTACATCTATGTTCCAAGCCTAGCTCTCCTTCCTGAGAATCAAGGAGTATAATCATCTGCCTATTGTACACCTCCAACGCAGTGTCCCATCAGTTCCTTAAATACCAAAAGACTAGAACTAAGCTGCTCTTCTCTACATTCCACCTCGAGCCTCCTCTGTCTCCTGTCTTGTGAAATGCACCATCATCTGCCCACCAGCCAACTCTATACCTAGGAACCATCTAAGACTCTCACTTTATTTTCTCTCACCTTAAGCCATTCCCAGCTATTTAGTCAGCTAGAGATGAAGTGGTGCTTGGATTCAGGAAAGGGCAGTGGTGATGGATTCTTCCTTCTCCTGGGATATAAGCCAAAACCCTCAGCAAGAGCTACATGTCCTCCTGATCCAACCCTGCCTCCCTCCTGTGTCTCACCTCCAGTCCTCTCTCTTTTGGTGCCCTAGTTATTCTGGCCACTTCTTGTTTGGTCATTAGGGACTTTGCATATAAAGCAGTAAGAGACTCCAGATTCTCACATGGCCTTATGGGGACAAAAAGTGCATGCCCAGGGAGGAGAGTGCTGTGGTTTTTATTCATTTGTTTTGGTGCAAACTATTTTTCAACAGATATTTTCATGTGTATACGTGGCAGAGGTTAATGTCTTTAATTTCTGAGAAGGGGAGTTAACAGAAATGAAATTAGTAACAATCAGCTTAGGTTGGTACCAGGAAGGTGGAAAACACAAAAAGAGAAGGAAGGGAAGGAAATGAGAAAAGGCTGTCTCTAGATCAGATGATCAGGCTATCAGACAAATAAGGAAGGAAGCTGAGAAGGTAAAAAGTCTGGAGCAGCTTTTTTTTGAAACTGTGGTTTGCAGAAAACTGTATATCCAGGATATACAGTAAAAAGTGATTTCAGATCCTACTCCAGATCTTCTCAATCAGAGTCTCCGGGGTTGGGCTCCTGGAATTTGAAGCACTACAATTTGAGAACCACTGCTTTAGAGCTCAACTCTAATACACAGTGTTTCCCAAGTTGTATATCAGGTGTAAGCAGAAAACTACCTTTGCCCCAGCTAGGGTTCTTTAGTTTGCCCTCTGACCTGGATGCCTAATCTGTCTCATTTCAATGACTTCTGTCTTCATTTCCGCCTCTTCTGCTTCTATTTTATTTGATTCATTCACACACCTGGTTTATACTTGATTCATTCATATTCTGAATCTACTGAATGAATCTGCTCTGTCAATTGGTTAGTTAATTCTCATTTATGAACAGGCTTCCACTGTCCATAGAATGATTAAGTCACTGAAACACAGCAATCAGAGAAAGAAACTTCAGTATGTTTTTTTTTTTATGTAGTCAGAACCTCTACATGTATATCTATCAGTATGTGTGTTAGTTATACTCACATACAAAGGGAATTAAACACTCTAAGCATGAAAAATATTTAAAAATAAATGACTAAGCTCTTACAAGGATATTTCAGATATGGGACACAGGAAACTTCTCAACTGTGAAGATTATAAAAATAATCTACAAGAGGGTTTGGCCAACTACATACAGCTCCTAGGTCAAATCCAGTCTGCCACCTGTTTTTTTAAAATAAAGTTTTGCTTGAACACAGCCAGGCTTATTTGCTTACACATTGTCTATGGCTGTTATTGCTCTAGAATGGCAGAGTTGAGTGTTTGCCACAAAGACAGCATAACCTGAAAAGCCTAAAATACTGACTATGTAGTACTTTGCAAATCCCTGGTAGAGTAACAGAAGACTGTAAATCATTTTCAGGTCTCATGCAGCTTACAACCAGAAAAAAAAGCATATATATATATATATATATATATATATATATATATACACACACACACACACACACATACATATATATATACACATACACACACATGCACATATATACAAACATGTATAAAGTTACATATATATGTATAGAGATACATTTCTAGAAGTTTTCTGGAACTAATTTCATATTTCTAAAATTGATCACATGTTGTCAACAATATAAATCCTGACAAGGGACTTTCCAGAATTTTTCCCTACTATATAATTTCAAATAGTCACTTGGTTGTGACGTAGAAGGGGACTTTTATTTTTGGTCTGGCTAAGGGTAACTATTTCCCTTTCTGAGGCCTGACTTTTTTTTTTAGCTCAACAATTTGTCTTTCAGCATTAGTTTGTCACAATGGTCTGCCACTTTGCTGTGCCTCTGTAAGTAATTCTGAAACTCAAAATGCACCAACAGTTACAAAACACAAAAGATGAGCAATATCATCATATAATAGTAAGACTCACATACCTGCATACCTAAATGATTTCATGGGCTACTACACCAGGAAAACTAATTTCTTTCTTTCTCTTTTTTTTTCCTTTTTTGTCAGACAAAGTCTTCCTCTGCTCCCCAGTCTGGAATGTAGTGGCGCAATCTCAGCTCACTGCAATCTCCGCCTCTCAGGTTCAAGCGATTCTTGTGCCTCAGCTTCCTGAGTAGCTGGGACTACAGGTACGTGCCACCACATCTGGCTAATTTTTGTTTTTTTCTTAGATTGGTGCAAAAGTGATTGCAGTTTTTGCCATTGGTAAAAATAGTAGAGACGCTGTTTCACCACGTTGGCCAGGCTGGTTTGGAACTCCTGACCTCAAGTGATCTGCCCACCTCAACCTCCCAAAGTGCTGGGATTACAGGCATAAGCCACTGTGTCTGGCTGGAAAAACTATTTTCACATATCACTTTGGTATTATAATACTGGATCTATTGACTAAATTAGTATTCGTTGGATCTCTCTGTCCTGACATTCTGTCCTAGCTCATATTTCCTCAGTGTGTCTTCAGGATAAAATGTTAGCTATATAGTTAGGCTATTTTTTTAAAATGAAGTCTTGCTCTGTTGCCCACCCTGGAATATAGTGGCACCATCCCAGCTCACAGCAACCTCCACCTCCTGGGTTCAAGCGATTCTCCTGCCTCAGCTTCCTGAGTAGCTGGGATTACAGGCACCTGCCACCATGCCTGGCTAATTTTTGTATTTTTAGTAGAGATGGGATTTCACTATGTTAGCCAGACTGGTCTTGAACTCCTGATCTCAAGTGATCCATCTGCCTCAGCCTCCCAAAGTGCTGGGATTATAGGCATGAGCCACCTTGCCTGACCTATAGTTAAGCTTTCTTCATTTATGTCTGTTCAGGAAAAACAAGTTAATCAATAAATATTATATGCAGATACATGCAAGGACACACATAAACCCATATATATGGAATATTACTTAGTGCTCTGAGCTTAGTATTTTTATTTTGGCTTATGTGTTTACTAATTACGTATTCTCATGGGTTTATTTATAATTGATTTATCTTTAAATGCTTGCTTAATAATGTCTTGGTCATAAAAAATAAAAGTATAATCATTAAATAATCATTTTAAGACTTAAAACATTGCTTTGGGGTTTGTGGATATTTTCTAAAACAGACTTCAGTGCTATTTGGCTCTGCATTATTCTTTTCAGCATTTTACAGAATCATTAATGTCTTTCATTTTATAGCAACAGATGTAAGAACTAAGTACTCTAAGGAACAGTTTAGTAAAAATGTATACTATATCATATTTCAATAAATATTTCTATGTAATTCGTTTTTGGTACTTAAAGTCCTCCAGAATTTGACAGGACGTGTCCCTCCTTAGCTACCTCCCAAGTTGCAACACACTGCTTTCTCTCTTCTTGATGTAAGGTCCCAGAGAAGCTAATCTCACACACAGAGCATGGTGAATACTGCCCCCACCTCTGTGCATACTTTCCCTATGATGAAAATGCTTTTCTCTCTTTCCTGTGTTTATCTAAATTTATCAATCCATAATATTCATCTAAAATGCAAGCCCCTCCACAAAGCCTTATACAGTAACTCCAGCCAATATTAACCTATTTCAGCTATTTCCTTTCCAGTCATCTGTAGCAGCAGTCCCTAACCTTTATGACACCAGGGATCAGTTTTGTGGAAGACAATATTTTCATGAACCAGGACATGAGGGGAATGGTTTGGGGATGATTCAAGAACATTGTATTTATTGTGCATTTTATTTCTATTATTATTACATACTCATCATAATATAGAATCAGTGGGAGCCCTGAGGTTGTTTTCCTGCAACTTGACAGTCCCATCTGGGGGTGACGGGAGACAGTGACAGATCATCAAGCATTAGATTCTTCTAAGGAGCACATAAACTAGATCCCTCATAAGTACAGCTCACAATAAGATTCACACTCTTATGAGAATCTAATAGTGCCACTGATCTAGCAGGAGGCAGAGCTCAGGTGGTAATGCTTGCTTGCCTGCCACTCACCTCCTGCTGTGTGGCTCGGTTCCTAACAGGCCACAGACTGGCACCCATCTGGGGCCCGGGGGTTGGGGACCCCAATCTACAGCACTTATTGATGATCATAGTCACTCATTTACTTACTCTCTCACTCAATGAATCAAAAGTATTTACCATATCAAACACAGTACTATGTACCTAGTGACATCCGTGAGTAAAACCTAACTCCTGCCTCTCTGAAGTCTGGAGTCTAGTGGAGGAGACAAGTCAATAGGCCATGTGAATTTGGTGATATATGTTCTGTGATCACAGCAGGCATAGCATGCACAGGAGGGACATCCACC